GTCTGCCCCACCCCCTTTAATATCTCTAACGCTTACCCCCTCCCTCCCCCCTCCTCTCCACGTAGCCGATGCAGCACCCCCTCCTGCCCCCTCCTCACATTTGGGATTCCACATAGCCGGTGCAGCACGCCGCGGTGTCCCCATGTGTTCTGCGCTACCACCCACGCGTCACCATGCCTTCTGTCCGCCCCACACCTCTTTTGTCTCCCTTCCTGGGGTCGGCGGCACTGGGCGGCAGCCCTTAAATATATAACCATCCTGAAGTACATAGAATTTTGGTACAACTCAATCCCGCGGCACTAAAAAAAAGTAATAATACATGGAATATCGGGGTCCCAAAAGCATCTTTAGGATGGTTATATCAAAACACCCGCGTGCCTCGAATCGAAACACCCGCGCGCGCGCGAGCTCGCATCCTATGTCCCTTTTCCTTCTCCCATCTTCTCCCCTATGTCCCCTATCTTCCACAGACCATTCCACGATATTCCAAGTACTCGTTTGATCCGCTCGGAGATATTCTATGTACTTTTTTTTGGGGTCAAAACGAGGTACTTAGAATATGAAATTGAAATGACGGAAGGTACGTTGGCGGCTCAATTCCGTATTCTATCTACTCGAGGATGATTATATATATATACACATGTGTGTATATATATATAATTATGTTATACAAACGATATGTTCGAGTTTGATCAATTCCGTAACATTTTTGTTGCTTGTTTACATTTGGCTGACCAAGCACCGGGTCTGCTGAGGGGTTTGTCCTCTCGCCGCATTCTGAAGGATGTGGACTGTTTCGACCAGGGCATGTTCTACAATGATCCCGTGAAGATGGAGGGCAGCGAAAGGACAGTGGAGCTGAGTGCTGAGGCTTGCCAGCAACGGTGCCAGGTGGTGGAGGACTCATGGCTTTGCTTTGTTTCGGGAAGTTTTGCCTTGCTGTTTCTAGCCTGTGCATTTTTCCAACCTCAAGGAGAAGGCATTGTGACATGCCTATGTTATTTTCTGTGGCGACAGATGATTCTTTGCTATTTGTATCTATTTGCCGAGTACATGCAAGCCGGAGATGTAGAGATATGTACGATGCAGAGATAGATCATGTTCATACAAATTTGCCGTAGAAATAGATCATGTCCACGCACACTTACACACTTACTCAGGTGTAGTAGGTTTTGAAGCTTAGCACACCGGCGATGCCATAAGGGTTGTCGGTGGGTGTCCTGCAAAACAGCGCCAATCCCCCAGATTGTGCACATTAGACACTCCATCCTAAAGCAGATCCCGCTGGCCCCCAAGCCGTTGATTTTGTCATTGTTGTTGTTGTTGTTGCTGTTGGGGTTGTGGTTGTGGTGGTGGTGGTGACAATTTTTGACACATGCTTTCAGTGCAGATGGTACTCCAAAGCATCGCTAACTTTTCATCATCATGTTGACTTGATTTGGTTGGTTCTTAGAAAGCGGTGGAACGAAAGAGGTACTGTCAGTAGATCAGATTTAAACCCACGTCTCAAATGCACACTCTGACAAAGAAGACACATACACGCAGAGTCACTTGAATTTCTTTTGCCCACCAATTACTGTACACTTTGCGTGAACACAGAACGAATCAAGGTGTTCTGTTGGCAAGAATAGAGCAAAACTAGAGGTGCCAACCTTGGAGGACTGTGCTCATTTCACGTTTTGGCCAGATGGTGGATGTCTTCTAACGAGCGAAGAGTCTTCTGTCAAAGCTGCCCCATACAAGTATTCTGCTACAGTGTCCGGGCCCAAGTACTGCGGTGTCCCCCCCGCAGATGATGATGACGACGATGTTGACACGGCAAGCTCAGAGGCTCAACAAGGCGAGAGCACTTGGGGTGCTGGAGAGTCAGCCGTCAAGGAGGTAGTTCCACCCGGCATCAACGGCACGTCCTGCAGCAAGTATCCCGCATGTGTGGCTGTGGGCATTTCTGACGGTGACTGCTGCCCAAATGCTGATGCTGTCAAACTGGGCTGCTGCGAGGGCTTCCCCAAGGCGGTTGAAGAGGTAAAGATTGCAGCAGGAGCAGAATGTTCCAGGCTCGCGAAAAAGCAATTTTTGTCGCCCTGCTTTTGAGATTTGCCATCGGAATCTTTCCCAAAAAGTTTGGTCATGCTGCAAAGCCAACAACATGCTCTGCTCATGAGTAAGAAATGGTTTGTTTAGCTCAGTCGCAGTGACAATTTAATCAATGATTGATGACACATTGATTGGATGCCAGCTTGCTCAGTGCAACACTTATTGTGTTGTGAAAATACGAGTCCTGCCAGGAGTCCTGCTGATGAAGAAAAACTGTCAGAAGGGCTTGGGTTCTAACATTTGTTTTCCACCAAACAGTTTACTGTTGGGGTTCTCTCTTAGAAAAAAAGAGCTGGCCACAGTGACTGGCCGCGCCCATGAACTCTGTGTCCGCCTCTGTGTCCGGGTCTTGTCCTCGTGTCCTCCTCTTGTCCTTCTCTTGTGCTGCTGTTGTCCTCTGGCCGCGCTGACCTTCTCTATTCCTGCTGTTGCCCTCTGGCAGCGCTGACCGAGCCTGTGTCCTCCTCTTGTCCTTCAAGCCTCCGTGCTCAAAGCGGCTCCGCAGCCGGCCCATATGAGCGGGGTGTTGGTCCCTACCTCTTCATGGCAGGGCTGCTTCCTTTTGGCTGGCTCCTGCTGCTGACGTGGTGTAGGCGCCGGTCAACATGATGCTGGGCACTATTGGGCATGTGGCTTAGGGTCTGAAGGCTGGCTTGCGTTCGACGACAGCCGGGAAGCTTGCGATGGGTTTGCACTCCACCATGAGCCTGGGCAGGACGTAGTGATTCTGTGGCTTGTCAGGGCCTCTCACCACTTTGTGTGTCGCCCTGCACCGGTGCCCTCAGCCTTCATAAAGATGAGATGCTCACCCACTGCCTGCGCTGCTTCAAGACTGGCCAACAAGTGGTCTTTCAAGCTGAGGACTCCTTGACCTGAGGACAACCTGCCCCATTTGCGGCATTGTTCGCCTCTCTTCCAACCTGCTGGAAAGCCATGCTCAAGCCGTTCATCCAGACGAATGGCTCATGGCCAACCGAGGTCCTTCCGTGCGCTTGGTGTCATGGGAGTGTAGATCTGATAGACCGCCTTCCCATCGATGCCAACTCATCATTGCCTTGAGACCCACGTCCGCCTTTCATGACACCACCTTGCTACCCATGGGCCCAATTTTTGCGTTGAATGCACCCCCCAACGAGACCTGACAGAGATGTCGGACGCCCAAGCCCGGGCAAAAAAGATCCAAACTCTACATGCTGCTGCTGAGGGCGCTGTAGCCTTGGGCGCTGTGCTGGGTGGAGCGCGGAGGCGAGCGGATGGGAGCTGCTGAAATGAGTGAGATCGATGGTCTAGGTCGTCTAGGAGAGTTTCCATCCATGTGATTTTGATTTGCTTTGATGCTGCAGAGCTCCCAAGGAAGGAGCCGGGCTGCACGAGAGCCCCACGCGCGTCGAGTGATGGAAACAACAACAAACCTCTTGTCCTGCTGTTTTCCTTCTCTTGTCCTCCTCTTGTTTGGCCCCGCTGACCAACGCAGACAAGAGGAGAGGACACAGGGCTGGTCAGCGCGGCCAGGGGGCAACAGCAGGATAAGAGCTGGCAGCGCGGCCAGAGGACACAACAGGACAAGAGAAGGACAAGAGAAGGATGACGACGCGCTCTTGTCCTGCTGTTGTCCTCCTCTTGCGTCTTGTCCTCCTCTTGTTCCTCTTGTCACTCGTCCTTCTCTTCTCCTGCTGTTGTTGTCCTCTTGTCCTCCTCTTGTCCTTCTCTTGTTCTGCTGTCCTTCGTTGTCCTTCTATTCTCCTCGTTTCGCCGCCTGACCTTGTAGCCAGAGCTCGAGAGAGACAGTGACTGCATCAGGCATCACTTCTTGAGGCAGCTCGAGTTCAGTAAACGTGTATGACGACAGCGGGCGTCGTACGTGAACACGCTGGGCGCGCGCTATTGGGTACGCTTGGGAGCACATCCCAGCTTTGAAGAATGAAGGACTATCAAGCTGCCCTAGAAGAGAATAATTCCGAGTGGTTTTGTTTTCGCCAAACACTTTACTGGTTGGGTTCCCTCTTAGGAAAATCTCTTGGGAAGAAAAGAGCTGGCCACACTGGCTAGCCGTGCCCTGAACTCTCCGTCCGCTCAGTGTGCGGGTCTTGTCCTTCTTTTGTATGCTGTGTCCTCTGGCTGCGCCGGCCAACTCTGTGTCCTCCCTTTTGCGCCCCTCTTGTTCTCCTCTTGTCCTCCTCCTCTTGTTGCTGTTGTTTTCTGGCCGCGCTGGCCAACCCTGTGTCCTCCTCTTGTCCTCCCGTTGTCCTTTTGTACTCCTTGCGCTTTTGCTGGTGTCCAGATGACGGCGTGGCAGCCTGAAGAGACGACGTCGCCAAGCGCAACAAACTTCTGTCTCTTGAGGGCATATTGGATGGTGTGTCCAGTTCCAAGGAAAACTTCGCGATGTTGGGTCTTTGCGAAAATGAGGTGAAGGAAACGCGTTTCCATTCACATCCATACCATGCCCTTTTTGGTCCGGTCAGACCAATTACTTTGGACATTTCAAGTCCACAGGTTCCCTGCGTGCGTGTCTTTGAACATCAGTGGCGCTTGTTGCCCTACACCTGATGGCATTAACCTTGGCTGCTGTGAGAGTGTGTAGGTGTGACTGCATGGGCATGTGGGGTGCTGCGAAGACGGTGAATCTCCACTCTCTGAATTCATCAGTGCTTCCAACAGTTTAAGGAAGTGATGAGTCTTTTGCAATGGAGTTGGCGTGTTGACCCTTTTTGGCGAAAGGATTTCAGAAACTCGCCGAATTGACCAGGTCAGTTGTGACAAACACTTGGCTGTCTTGGAGAGAAAGGCGTTGCAAACAAAAGCGGAAAACAGACACTTCAGCTGGAACCCGCGACATATTGTGGTTTCTTGGGCACAGCTCCAGGCTGACTTTTTGAAAGCCAAGACATGTCTAAGCGCAGGCCCTGCACAAACAGCTCCAAAACCCATATCCTCCGTTTGCGCCTCAGACTGTTCACAGGCAACACTTCTCTGAACATTTGCTGGAAAATCATTTTTGGCAGGTCATGATCAGTGTATCATTTTTTGATAGCAAGTCTAGTATGGTATGGTATGGTGTGTAATGTGATGTGATGTGATGTGATGTGATGCGATGCTATGTATGTATGTATGTATGTATGTATGTATGTGTGTATGTTTGTTTGTTCGTGTGCGTGGATGTATGTATGTATGTATGTATGTATGTAATGTAATGTAATGTAATGTAATGTAATATATGTAATGTAATGTATGTATGGATGTATGGATGTATGGATGTATGGATGTATGGATGTATGGATGTATGGATGTATGTATGTATGTATGTATGTATTTTTCTAAAGTTGGCGAGTTGGGTTGTGCCCTTTAGTCATGGCCCTGCTCTAGGCCTTGTGCCTCAGTGCTCAGCTGTCCTGGAACCCAGAAGAAGTCGACCTGGTAGTGGTCGCAGTCCTCCTCCGTGTCGGCCATCTTCAGGTCCGTTGTGTGGGAGGCTTCTTCTTCACCTTCAAGGCTGGGTGTCATGGCCAGTGGTGAAGTTGTAGTGGTGTCTCCAGTGTTGGCGGGGTGTCATGGCCCGTTGGAGACTCTTTGTGTTTGGCCTGTGCGCCGAAGAGCTGGTCCAAGGTGGGGGAGTTCTGACTCTTTCCCCGGCATTTGTTGCGGAGCCCTCTCGTGAGGATCGCACGGCTGGCCTCATCTAGGTGGCTTTGTAGCCCGCATCCTTTGCGCTTGATGCTTTTGCCCTGCTGCCACAAGGTGTGGGCGGGGTGGCCTTGGTGCGGTTGTGTGTATGCTTCATCAATGCACGGGCTATCCACAAAGGCCTTGAAAGTCTCTTCCTTGGCTCTCTTGTGTACAGCCAGGTTGCACTTCGTGCGTTTGAGGTGGCCAGTGGTTTCTTGAAAAGCGTGCTCATTGGGGGCCACGCTGGACCATGAGGAGGTCTGCAATGATGCTGGATCGAGTGGGCTTATTGCCAACTGGCTTGTCTGGAGGTATGTCGGGTTCTGGTGCTTCATGTGTGAGTTGATCACAGTGCTGCTGCAGCCTGGTTTCAATGGTCTGAACCGTGAGGCCTTGATGCACCCTGATGTGACATGTATGGCATTGGAAGCCGCTCCGATGTGGCTTCCATTGGTGTTTGCCTGGGATCCATGGTTGTTGACATTGCTGGATGAGGCGCTTTTTGTATTGTTTGGTTGTATGTCCAGCATGTCGGACTGGTTTCTCATGCAAGTAGTGCTGGGGATCTTTGTAGATCTTTCCAATCTGGCTGCGGCGTGGCGGTATGCCTCATAGTGGTCCTGATCCAGAGTACGTTGCCAGGCCTCCGCAGTTGGATCATATATGGTGTTGGCCCGTTCCAAGCTGCCAATGCTGCGTCTCTTTGACGTTGTCGGAGGTGTTCATTTGCTGGTGCATCAGGTGTGCTCTAGTTCCTGCTTATGTAGAGGGGTCTGATTCTTGCAAACAGCTCCTCGGTCTGACCTTGGCGCGAGGTCATAGAACCCCTTGCGCTTCTTGGGATTGGTCCAGGCTTCCCATACTAATGCAAGCTGGACTATGACGGTGATCGGTGTTTGGCCAAACTGGGCAACTGTCGGTAGCCCTTGGAAGATGGCCCTGGCCTTGGTCTGAGGCCCCTTGGTCATGGCGGTGATGGTGCCTTTTTTGTGGAGCGCGCCAACGAATTACCCGTGGATGCAGAGGGCAAAGATCCAAGCCTGTGCCCGTCTGTCTGCTGACGTTGGGGTGGCATCCACTGTGACTGACAAACCCTGCCATGGTTGCAGCGGTAGGGGTTCGAGCCCTTGCCAACATCCGTGCCCTTGAAGCCCTAAAGGCTGGTGTAGATGATCCTGTGGTTCCGATCCATCCGTGGGCCCAGAGTGGTTCTTCAAGTGGGTCTTGGAGGTGTTCTGTCCAGGGAATTGGCAGGGGCTCATGGCCTTGTTTGCGGTGCCAGGTGCAAAGCCACAGGATGTGCTTGGGTGTGGGCGGGCACGTTGGAACGGATGTGGTTGGCCTGGGTTTTGCTCAGCTTCTTCATGGCCTGGTGTGCCACCGTCCAATCCAGTCCGCTGCACCATGTTGCTGCCAGTGTTGGCTGGTGTCAAGGAACTGGGGCCATGTTGGGTCGCCAGTCCTCAGGAGGCCGCACCTTTGGCCTGGGTGGGCTGGTTCTGGATGATGCTGAGCCTTGCTTGAAGCTGCTCCCAAAAGGATGGCTTCCCCTTTTTCCAGAGTGCCCCTGCCTTGGCTGGTGCCAGGGGTTGGTGTATGACAGTGAGGTTTAAAGCTCCTATTTGTGGTGCCCATGGGGTTGCAACAGGTATTGCTCGGTGACTGACACCCAGTCGGCCAACCCTCTGGCCGCTTGGTTGGGCTCTACGTCGTACAAGATGATGTCCTCAACCTGGCTGACATAGGTGGTCCATGGGCGGAAATCGATGTCCGGGACCGTTGGTAGTTCATCATCGAGTTCCAGCGCATATGTGACCAGGCAGTGCGGACGCCACGGTACTGCCCATTCTGTGGTCATGGAGGTGTGTGGAGCCAAGTTGTTGTGGATGAGGGCATAGTCCACAGTGTTGCCGTTCAACATGGTGGCATCTGGCATCTGGCGCAGGAATCGATCCCAAGACAGTGCCTTGAAATTGGTCTGGGTGAGCATTCCAGTCCCCAACGGGGATGTACTGCCGGTTGGAGGCTTCAATCAGGGCCAAGATTCTAGCCAGGAGTTGGGAGTTGGTGGAGCCGAGTATTGTTTCATTGGTCTTGAAGTAGACAGCAACGACCACGATGGATCTGGCCTTGGCTTCCCATAGAAATGCTTGGTATCCGCGTCCCTCGATGTGGTAGCTCTCCACATTGGTGATGCCATGTGCAGTGTCATGCAGGATCAGAAGGCCTCCATGGTTGCCATCATTGGCGCTGTTGCTGTGGGCTGGTAGTCCGAAGGCATGGCGGCCTCTCACCTCGAAGTATTCACGCAGGAACTGTGTTTTTGTTTGTCCAAACGTGTTTCGACAAGAACATGGAGTTCATTCTCGTGACTCCACAGCCAGCCCAAGGTGTGTTTGCCAAAGGTAGATGTTTAGATGTTTGCTACATGGATCCGCATGGAATCCTGTGTGAACTTGGCTTTCTTGGGTGGGGTGCTGTGAAGCGGAGGGTCATAATCTGGCGTCTCAGGCTGTGGCAAAGGTGTGGCTATTTGGCGTGGCGTAACAACTCCTGCCAGGTGATCTCGTCCAGCAGGGCATCTGGGTAATCCACCACAAGTGGAAGTTGGACATGTTCAACGAGATATCCTCCTTCCTTGATTTCTGAGTATCTGTATTGCGTCACCCTTGTTTGTGATTTCAGCCACAAGGAGTTGACGAAATGTGCTGCGTCGCCTTCTGTGTTGAGCCACAGGTCCTCCAAGCCCGGCAGAGTTTTGATGTCGACGGGTTCACTCAGTTCGAGTGATGTCTGAACTGCATCCCTGATGGTCGCCCAAGGCTCCTTGTTGGACTCTGCTAGGTAGGCGCACATCCAGCAAAAGGCCCTCCATGGTGCATTGGCATAGCATCTGGCGCTTGGATTGCCAATGATCACGCTGAGGTTTTGCAGGATCAATCTGTGGTGGATGCGTACTCGTAGTAGTTCATGTCTCTGGTGCCACTTTCCAAGTAGTCCAGAGAGGTCGAGGCGATGAAAGTTGGTTCAATTAAGAGGCTTAGGCAGCGGCTGCCATGTGCAAAGGGCGAGGTGAAGTCCAAAATGTGCTCTGGTTCTTGCAAAATGCAGAAGTGAGTATTGTGTTGCATGTCCCCTGCAAAATTGACAGTTGTCCCCAAACATGGACCCTCTGAGCCATCGCAAGACGGAATGTCATCTTCAGGAACAGGTACAGTCCACCCCTCTTCAAAGGTTGTGAATAGGCTGTTACCCACACTGTCCGGGTGGGTTCAATGGCGTAGTCTCAGTTTTCCTGCGCTTTGTTGGATCATCAGAGTCCTGATTGGGCCGCCTAAACAGCCCATGAAGTTGGGTCTTTTGCTCCTCAGTAAGGGAGATGCCCAATCTATGCGCAAAAGATTCAACGTAGGGATTTGTTCAGGTTGTCCCGTTGGCTCTGTGAGGTCTACCGGCGCAGGTGATTGGTTGACAGCCTTCACGTAGTCCTCTGACAATGCCTTGAGCGCTTTCTGTCCATCCGTCAGTTTTACTTGCAGGTCCTGCGTGTCCTGGACTTGGCTGGCATATTGAGCCTTGACGTTGTCAATCTTGGTCTGGAGTTGGGTGTTGCGGATGGACAGATTCTTGAGATCTGTAACCTGGCTTTTGAGCTTGGCCGCAATCTCCCGCTCCGTAATCGGTTCCGGAGTGGTAAGTTTGGTCACCGCATCTTGGACCTGCTGAGGCAGTACAGCCATATGTGTCTTGAGAAGATCGGTCAGCTCTGGCTCGTCAGGTTTGGCGGGCCCAATACTTAAGGCTTGTAGTTTCCCTTGGATGTCCTCCGGGATGATCGTCCATGTTGGTGCCAAGAGATCGTTTGCCTCCTGCTGGACCTTGTTCCTCTTTAAGGGCTTGAACTTGGTGAGCCCCGGAGGGGCTTCTGGCCAGGTTGACTGCGCTGCCTTGGTGGTCTTGGTGGCCAGACGCCCTTGTTTCCCTACATGGCTTCCTAGCTTTTCCACCATGTGCCACACTGCCGGCACCACGTTCCATCCCGCAGTTTGTCAGTCCAAATCCAGTTGACGCAATGGTGTCCCTGGCAGACTGTGTAGGCACGGCGCCAGGTTGATTTGGCTGCTGATGTCATAGCGAAGGAGGATCACTTCACTGAGCTCGTTCTGGCCTGGAAGGTAGGCAAGCAAGTAGGGATAACGGGCAAAGTGGTAGTTGAAAAGCTCCCCAAGGCCGAAGGAGTGAGGAGGTAGACCTGAAAGAAAGATCACCTAGATGATGTCAAGGGCGAGCAACTGCCAGCCACCGTAATTCTCTGCCGGAGCGAGGTTGGTGTAGGGCAGATTGCGGGCAAAGAATGTGTGGTAGGTGTCCTTCGGGATGGGCCCTCCTTGGTGTGGTTCTCCCCGCTATGTGCGCAAGGGGATTTGCGCACGAGCAGGTCTTCCACGCGCCATGTATGTATGTATGTATGTATGTTTGTTTGTTCGTTTGTTTGTATGCATGTATGTATGTATGTTTGTTTGTTTGTTTGTTTGTTTGCGAGTGCTTGACTATGGTAGCACACAGCTTTTGTCACATCCTCTGGAGTGGCAGCGACCGAGGCTTTGGCTGCAGGGGTATGGCCACAACAACATGCCGCAGGAATCGTTGGCACGGTTTGGGGCATTATGCTCGCCGTTTACAGATCCACTGTTGAATCAGATTTGGAAGACCAGGTACGACACGTCATACTTGTTTTGGTTCTTTCTTGATTCCCATCTGGGCAGGACAAGTGTTTCGACTATGTGAAAGATTTCCTACGTTCCCTTGGTGAAAGCCTGAGCTGCGGGGAGTTTGCTTTCACATAATATAGGTCGATGGAGAGTGTTGCTCTCTGATAGTACACAGTGTTCTTGTTTTGGCCATTTAGCAGCGTAGGTGCTGGCCGAGAATGTCTATGAGTCTATATATTGAGTCCCAGCAGCTGTTACTTGCAACAGAGACTCCCTACTTTAGAACAGCTTGAAGCAGGGCTTTCCCTCACTAAAGCTCGTGCTCTTGGCATGGAACACATATGTTAGAGCATGATGCGTTGGGCGACAGGTATGTCAAAGGTGTGATATGAAGACTCTTTCATTGAGCCACATTCCACATCACATAACAAATACAGGGCCTGGTGATGTTCTGCGAAAACAACCTTTTTTTTTGTGCTGAGGCGATGGTAAGTGAGATTTTGTCAAGGTGCCTGATAGAGGGCCAGCAGTACACTCTGGCCGTGTGAGGATCCATTTGCATCAGTGGTTTGACGTGTGTGGAGTAGTCAAAATCAACACGTCAGTGCTGTCGATTGACACTTGTACCATGGACTGCATTGGGAAGCATTTTGAACTGTAAGGCAGGATTCTCCATATCACACTGCAGTTCATTTGCGCCCATGGTTCTGTATTCTGTAACTGGAAACTATACTGGATACTACACTCTCCATGACAGCAGGTTTCAATGGGCATGTGCCATTCAGCCAGAGCTGTGCATAGCAATTCGTGGACGCAATTTGTCGTACGAATTTGCCCGTTCCAAGCTGATCCTTTGAGCAGCCCTGAGCTAGGAAAATGGCAAACTGCAATCTGCAAGCAAGACTTGTTGTGCACTTTGCTTAGCTTCCGGGAGTGGCTAAGGAAACAATCCTTCACAACCAGGAGTGATCTCTTAGTAACTTAGTATGAAAGTCGAAACTGACGATGCATTCTGCTTGATCTTGAAGGTGTTGGAAGCAGACATAAGGGATCTCACGACAATCGGACCGTTCAGGTGATGTCTGAGCCCACAAACTAGTGGTTATGCTGTGTAGCTTCTCAAAGCAGCTGGTTGCATCCTGGACTTCGAGTTTCAGAAGCTTTTTGGCAGCATAAGTGTTTCGAGAAAGGGCTGATTTCATCAATACAACTTTTTAAGACAGATCACCCTCTGCATTCTCACTCCAATTTTCCCTACGACACCTGACCCCTTGTATAGTGATTTTGCTGCGGTTCAAACGTCACATGTCCGTGTTCACCAAACAATCAACCGGGCAGAATTAGAGGCTGTAGTGTGGATCGTCGACTGTATGACCCGTACTCACCCAGACACATTCCTTACCATTTACACTGATTCAGCGTATGTGGTACGTATCATTGATGACATACTTGAGAGTCAGAATAACGCTCAGCACCATCGTACTGCCCATGGTGATTTGATATGCCAACTCCAATACCATTGGAATCCTTTGCTACATCGAATATGCAGGTTAAGTCCCATCGGTCAGTCGATGAGGCAACATCGAAACAGGATCTCGAGACCAGCCTTGGCAACACAGTTGCCGATGAGATAACATTTTTCATAAATAAAGCAAGAGTTTCACGACGCCACAGATGCTATCTTTACACATTCACAGAGCCAATCGCATGGCTTACATCTCGTCTATCAGTATCTCATTGATCTAAACGGACTGCACTGAGTGCTTAAGTTAGAACGAGAGTCAGCCACCCACCAACTTGACCAGATGCAAGCAATCGATTTCTACACACAATTTCAGGATCAATTAAGATCTTGGAAATTCACAACTACTCCATGGACACTTACTACACCTCTACATCCCGCCGCCGAGCATGCTTCCTATTGGAGACGCAAAGTCTCCCGCCAGGTTAGAAGAGATCTAAACTGTGCTTCTTTGTTACTAGTATACAGTAAGGCCACGAGCCCCTAGTAGCGTCCTTGTTCCTAGTAGCGATGCCCTTTGTTACCAGTAGCTTCTTTCTCCTGGCTTCTTAACTTGGCGCTGAAACATTTGTCTTTTCTCAAATACATGCTCTTGCAAATCGGGAATTAAAGTGTCTCTCGCATCAACAAGCGACATAGGAAAATGAACATTTGCAGGACATTTTTGCCCCTTAAGTTTCTTATATTCCACAAGTAACGAGAGCGCTAGTTCCTGGTCTGGGAAACGTGGTCCAGCTCATATGCCTCCAACTAAACTGCGATGAAATCCCAGATTGACCAGAGATGATGCCCCTACTTTGGGGTGTCGGGGAAACATATTGCATTGCATTGTATGCTCCAAGAACCTAACTGCGTTGCGCAAATGTGTAGCCTGTTGTTTAAGGCTGTGTCGAGCCGGCGGCAACACTTGAACTTCTTCGGACTTAAAGTCATATGGAGAACGGGGCATTTTTAGACTTATGATGGATCCAAATCGGAAGAAAGTTTCCGTAACACGCAACAAGCATGAGAGGGTAATGGTTCATCTGGGGATGGCCACTAAAAAGCCTATTTACACTTGTTCTCACTTACAGACCTTCAGTACCCCAATACGGAAGGGCAGCGAGGCGCGCGACAGACAGTCCGCAAGTGTGTGTGGTTGGCCATCCCGTTCTTTTCTTTTGACAGATCATCTCCACTTATGGCTCTGAATCCTTTGGTCTATATATCAACCACAAAGACATGTGAATCACAGCCAAAAGACTATGGCATGCTTTCACATCACCAAGGACGCCATGAACCGCGATTCTGAGCTTGAGGAGCTTCTCGAGACGGAGCGGCCGCAGCGGAAGTGGAGCGTTTCGTCTCGCGCCCTGGTGGTCGTGGGAATTGTCGGGCTGGCAGCCTTGGCCTTTTTCCCCTTCAGTGGAAAGGGTCTTCGCAGCAAGTCAGGTGCTTTCTTGGCTTTTGACGAAGTCGATGCTGAAGATGATGATGTCGATGATGGTGATGAAGAGGTCACTACTTGCTTTGCTCAAGGCATGTACTACGCAGAGCCCGTCAAGCTTCCTGGCACCGAGAGGACTGTGGAGATGAGTGCTGAACTGTGCCAACAACGCTGCCAAGTTGTGGATGGCTGCATGCACTTTACCTTCTGGCCAGATGGCGGATGTCTTCTGACTGGCGATGAGTCTTATGTCAAAGCCGCTCCATACAAGTACTCCGAGACTATGTCAGGCCCCAAGTTCTGTCAGGATGCAATTGATGCAGCCAAGGAAGCCATCTCAACCGCTGGCTCTGCTGCAAGCTCCGGTATTCAGCAAGCGTCTGATTCCGCGAGCTCCGGTCTTCAACAGGCAGCTGACACTGTGACCTCCGGCATTCAACAAGCTCAAAGTGCTTGGGGTTCTGCTGCCGACGCAACGGAGTCTGTGGCAAAGGAAGTGGTGCCGCCAGCACCGGGCATCAACGGCACGTCCTGCAGCAAGTATCCAGCATGTGTGGCTGTGGGCATTTCTGACGGTGACTGCTGCCCAAATGCCGATGCTGTCAAACTGGGCTGCTGTGAGGGCTTCCCACCCAAGGCGGTGGAAGAGGTGAAGATCCTTGCTGGCTCTGAATGCTCAAAGCTTCTTGGTGTAGCAAGGGCAAGGGGCACTCTCTACCACTATAATTACCTTTGTTGGGTTGATATCTCAAAGTGTTTCCATGCCATGAATTTTGTCTTTGAGGGTCTTCATGCATCCACAAAAGCCAGTGTCTTCAAATTTCTGTCGAATCTACGTGGAAGTTCCAAATTGTGTGCGCTGCAGGTTCCCTGCTTGTGCCGCTCTGAACATCACTGGCGGTTGCTGCCCTACACCTGAGGGAGTCCAGTTGGGATGCTGCGCTGCAATCTAGGGCATTATTTTCAAGCGATCTCGGGTCTTTCTAGCTACCAAATCAGCAGGTATAGAATCGGGATTAGAGTCAGCATAAAGTTTTAAACAACCATTATCCAGGGTGCAAGCCTGCAGTTCGCTATTCTTTTGTTGCAGTGAATTTGCATATGTGCAGATGCTGCGAAGTCGGCATTTGAACGCTTTACTTCTCTGCTGATGATGAGTTGCAACAAGATATGACATAGTTGGCGACTCTGTGAAAGCCAAACATGGAAATCGTCACGATTTTCTGTGGCAAGGAAGTAAACTATAACTTTGTAGAAGTCAAAGCAGGTTGCTATGCCATTCTTACAAGCATCCATCCAATCATGCAAGCGTGTCACACAACCTCACGTGTTGTTCTCTGACGGCTCAAGAGTAGATCGGCTAAGCTGTGATTAAAACACTCAGCACATCCCGTTCGTGCTCGTGATGATGAACCACTCTGACTTGGAAGAGCTTCTTGAGGAGACGGAGCAGCCTCAGCGGAAGTGGAGCTTCCCCACTCGCGTCCTGGTGATTCTGGGAGTTGTCGGGCTGGCAAGCTTGGGTGTTCTCTCATTCCGTGGAAAGGGGCTTCGAAGCAAGTCCGGCGAATTTGTGGGTCTTCAGGAAGTCGATGTTGACGATGATGTCGATGATGGTGATGAAGAGGTTACTACTTGCTTTGTTCAGGGCATGTACTATGCAAATCCGGTCAAGCTTCCTGGGACTGAGAGGACTGTAGAAATGAGCGCAGAAAGTTGCCAACAACGGTGCCAAGTGGTTGACTTCTGTGCACATTTCACGTTTTGGCCAGATGGTGGATGTCTCCTGACTGGTGAAGAGTCCACACCGAAGACTGCCCCAGCCAAGTACGCGGATCTCATGTACGGACCCAAGTATTGTCAACCAGCGATTGATGCTGCAAAGGTACAGATCGACCATGCAGCCCAGGTAGCTGATGAAGTCGCAGCTGCAGGTGGCTCCGGGCTGCAACCCATTGCCGAGGCTGGGGCCTCTGGACTTCAGCCCATTGCTGATGCCGGGGCCTCTGGTCTTCAGCCGATTGCAGATGCTGGAGCGTCTGGATTGCAAGCTATGTCTGAGGGCACTTCTGGGCTTCAGCAGGCAGAGCAGAACTAACTAAGCAATGCAGTGCTGTGCTTAATCAGAGCTACCAAAGTAAAATCGCCTCTTAAAAGATTGTAATATATATATATATATACTGTATACCAAATGCAACCAATCAAGGTAAATATATATAGGGCGAAAGCCTCCAAGCTTCGGATCGATAGCCTCGTAATTCTCAAAGGAGCTCTGGTGCTTGGACTGCATGCATTCTTCAACAATGGGTGTGTGGTTGTGGTTGTGGTTGTGTGTGTCTCTCATATAAGGCCTCAAAACTGGATTGCTTGATGGGAAAGGATTGAAAAGGAGGAAAAAGATCAGAGGATCAGGGAAGGATGGCCACTTGAAGATGTTTTGTGTCCCAGCATGCCTGGAGATGATAGCAAGGCTTTAGGTGAACAAGCACCTCAAATGGAAGAAAGAGCCTCAGTTTTAAAAGGCCAAAGACATGACATTTCAATACAACTGCAAGTTCCACTGGCACACGTAGGTTCTAGATAAAAGATCTCCGCGCAATCCTTCATGTCCATCATAGCCCTGGGAAGCTTGTCCCAACAGACCATTAGCTGGTTCGTGTGCATTGTTCTGCTAGCGGGTACCCGCTTGCAACCCCCCACAGACAAAAGGGTAAACAAATAGATACACATCTATAATAAATGATTTTGATTTTTTTTCATCAACCCGACCAACAGCGCTGAACCAGCACAGAAAGACTGGATATCAACACTGAAGTGAAGTCCAATGAGATCGACTCCTTTGCGGCAGGCAACCTTGGGCACCAGCTTGGATGACACGCCCGAAATGCAGGAAAAGATCGCGAAAACCGCAGGCTTGGCTATATAAGTGCACCCCCCCCGCCAAGCCGATTTGTTTGTTCAGTTTGGACTTCACTAGCTGAGTTCTACCTGAGGAGGTGCGTGTCCTCATTTCATGACAGAACGCCGTGTGCCAGGTGAAATCACTGAGATGATCCCCGGTGTCAACGGCACCTCTTGCAGCAAGTATCCTGCATGCGTGGCCGCGGGGATGCTTGGAGAGTGCTGCCCCAACGCCCAGTCTGTGAAACTGGGCTGCTGCAATGGCTTTCCTGAGGCGAGGTGAAGGTGATGGACAGTGATGGGGAAGGACACTGTGCACAAAGTCTGGATTTGCATCCCTGTGAAATTCATCTATAGTCTATACATCAGAACAGCACACAGACACACAGACACACAGAGGAGATCATGTGCAAATTAACACGTTATACTCCATGGAGGGTGTCTGCACGCGTCACACCATGTGCTTCATGTATTTGATGGAAGCTTTCCAACAGAGCTTTTCTCGGGACGCTTCGGTCGACGGACACTTCAAGTATCTTAAAGGCGGCAAGACGTTTGCCTTCATTTCTGTACCACCTACCACTCAACTCTTCACATGTTCACTTGCATCAACACCTGGCTAGAAGCTGTGTCGAGGCTGGAATCTTTTTTCGACACCGTGTTTGGTGTTTTGCCGTGCAGGCAGCACCTGTCTTGAAGATCACTGCTGGTGCCGAATGCTCTGCGCTCCTTGATTGACCGAGTCTATACTTTACAATCTTCTAGAGACCAAACGCGGTGGTTTTGATTGGGTAGTGCAAAAGCATTCCGGTGTGCAGGTACAATGAATGTTCATTTGTCCTTGCCCGGCAATGCCTTTGGTTTCACTTCACGCATGTTGATTGTGATTCTGTGAGGCATGGTTCGGATTGTTCTCTGAGATTTTTTGGAATGCCTGCCCCACATGTTCTGAATACAGTACTGTTTCTTTGACTGATGCGCTCAAAGCAGAAATCAACTATCAGTAAGTGAAGGCACGTTATCATTGTTCTGATTGTTCAATACTCTTGGAACTCGGAATTTTGTTTCTTCCAAGCTCTAGGTATCATTTAGGAACTTTAAGTCTTTAACTGTCCCAAACAATCTAGGAACCAAATCATTAGCGCGAGCTATCCTACGTCCTGTCAGTAGTAGCTACTTGCAAGCTACCTCTAGTTACCTCCTAGTGGCCTACCACCCACCCCCGCGGGCGAAAAACAAACAAAAGAAAAACATAATCCTTCAATTGTCTTCTCTTGTTTCTTGCTGAACTCATGACTAGTTACGGCCTGGATGGAGTCCTGCGACGACAATGCGGAGCACACCAAGCCTGAGAGAGGGAAAGTCTAGCTGGAAGCCCGAAAACAGCTCCCAAACTATGTTTTGTAATGTCCGGTTCAAGCAGCTATTATGAAAGCAGAACTGGCAAAGCATGGAAGGGTTGTCGGTTCAAGTTACTACTGCAGGTTCCCTGCCTGTGTCGCCCTCAACATGACCGGCGCTTGCTGCCCCACTGCCACTGGCTTGCAATTGGGATGCTGCTCTCAGATCTGAGGCCAGTGATAGCTCCAGTGTCCGTCGGTCTGTTCAAGCCTTTGGAGCATTGTGTTGCTAAACAGGCAGCTTGAGTTGTGTTTTGACGATTCTGACATATGAACGGGCCTGACGACGTCTACCTCGGTCTGGTTCTTGAGTTCATTTTTTCTCAGATGTTCGTTTCTGAACATGCTGAGTTCGGGGTAGGTAGACACAAAGCTGCAAAGCCAGCCGAGCGCATTTATTCACTAGGGATTACTGAGACAGACCTCCCACCACTGTGAGAAGTTAGGCAGCCTTTACATTTTGTCATTGCTTGCGAGGGCTGTCGCGCCACACTCTTTGCACTGTGAGCTAGAAGAAAGAAAGACATGGAAGCTGCACAGCCAACTGATAGCCATGTAATGAGTGTCCAGTCTAGTGTAAGAGACTTTGTCCACTCTTGCAGAAAGTGGAGCAAATATATATATATATATATATTGCCTTTGGACAGCTCAAGAGTAGATCGGCTAAGCTGTGATTAAAACACTCAGCACATCCCGTTCGTGCTCGTGATGATGAACCACTCTGACTTGGAAGAGCTTCTTGAGGAGACGGAGCAGCCTCAGCGGAAGTGGAGCTTCCCCACTCGCGTCCTGGTGATTCTGGGAGTTGTCGGGCTGGCAAGCTTGGGTGTTCTCTCATTCCGTGGAAAGGGGCTTCGAAGCAAGTCCGGCGAATTTGTGGGTCTTCAGGAAGTCGATGCTGACGATGATGTCGATGATGGTGATGAAGAGGTTACTACTTGCTTTGTTCAGGGCATGTACTACGCAGAGCCCGTCAAGCTTCCTGGCACCGAGAGGACTGTGGAGATGAGTGCTGAACTGTGCCAACAACGCTGCCAAGTTGTGGATGGCTGCATGCACTTTACCTTCTGGCCAGATGGCGGATGTCTTCTGACTGGCGATGAGTCTTATGTCAAAGCCGCTCCATACAAGTACTCTGAGACTATGTCAGGCCCCAAGTTCTGTCAGGATGCAATTGATGCAGCCAAGGAAGCCATCTCAACCGCTGGCTCTGCTGCAAGCTCCGGTATTCAGCAAGCGTCTGATTCCGCGAGCTCCGGTCTTCAACAGGCAGCTGACACTGTGACCTCCGGCATTCAACAAGCTCAAAGTGCTTGGGGTTCTGCTGCCGACGCAACGGAGTCTGTGGCAAAGGAAGTGGTTCCACCAGCACCGGGCATCAACGGCACGTCCTGCAGCAAGTATCCAGCATGTGTGGCTGTGGGCATTTCTGACGGTGACTGCTGCCCAAATGCCGATGCTGTCAAACTGGGCTGCTGTGAGGGCTTCCCCAAGGCGGTGGAAGAGGTGAAGATCGCTGCCGGCTCTGAATGCTCCAAGTGTCTTGGACCGTTGCCGGTACTCTGCGATAGTCAAAGATTGGAATCATTTTGAAAAACACGCGAAGTGTTGGTTGTCCGAGATCCCACTGCCACGAGTCTGTGTGATGGAACTCTCTCTCTCTCTCCTCAACATCAACACTTCTCACATCATCTTGTTGAAACAAGTGCAGGTGCAACACAACAGTGAAGCCAACCTAGAAACATGAAACAGCTCAACAGAAGTGGCCTGCGGTTTGCGTTCTCCACCTGGGGGCCCTGATGTGTATATTTGCCCGGAGACCGAGGTACCCTGGGTGTGTTGCGCTGAACATCACGGGTGGCTGCTGCCCCACCAACGATGGCCTAATGCTGGGCTGCTGCGATCAGATCTGAGGGAGCCTGGAAACGTCGTGGGCAAATGAGATTTGAAATGAATGGCAAGACATGGTAAGACAGTAAGACCTGATAAGACCTGTGATTGTGGTGGCTCAGAAGGGGACCCTTATTTTTCCTTTTCGCTTTGCACGCAACTTTTGGTACTCCATAGCCACGGCGGAGAGCAGCTGACGGCTGGCTTGGACATCTCCGCGGGATTTGCTGCGAAGTCAGTTCCCGCACATATTTGCTTCGAGCAGATTGATGATTGGTTGTAGTGCTTTTTGGAGAACAGTGAGACAGAGAAGCAGGGAGTTGCTATTGTTTTGGCAGGGCAACCTGGCTTCCAAAAGACTCTGTGACTTACCAGGCACTTTTTGTGCTTCCCCTTGTATTCCGACCATGCGTGTCTTCTACACAGTTGATCCTCCATAGGCTGAACGCAGACAGTGGCAAGAATTCAATGGGTACTGCGCATGAGTGAAGATTGCTTGAAGCAAATTGGCAGATAAATGACCAATGACATGCTAAAGGTGTCACCCTTTTCCAATGCAGTTTTGGGCTGAGTGTGTGGATCTGGTCTACCATTGCGAGGACTTGTCAATTAAGATCCAGATAGGGCACCATGACTTCATATGCCCGGCCTGGACCCACGCACAACTTGGCACGAGAGCACTCTCCCTTCTCATAAACTCTGAGTAGAGTCAGAAAGGAGAGAGTAGAGAAAAAGACAGGAGTGACCGGAGTCGGCAGAGAGATCAAGCACAGGTGATCATTGACACAAGCAGCATATTTTCGGCACCAAATCGGACGAAGGTCATGGTATTTGGAAACAGGAACGTTTCTCTGCTTGCCATTTGTCTTTGGTGGCTACTCTTCACTACTTTCTGGGAATCTTGACAAGCAAGATTCCTTGGTAACATAGAGTGACTCAAAAATTATTGTTCCACATTTAGCGTTCCCAAAGATGCTGTTGGGATGTGATCTTCAGGTGAACAGGGATAGCATGGCTTAGCATCTTTTGGCTTGACAATTTGGCTCAAGCGAGACTTGGGCCAGGCAGATTTAGCCACCTAGAGTCCAAGCACTTGGGCATGGTGGACACCCAGGTGCCTCGAATATGAGAGCCTTTTCGGGCATGCTTTGATTCATGGGACAACGCGCGCATTTCACTGCATTTGAGTATCCAAAGTTGCCACGATGGATTGCGTTGGGGAAATATCAAAGGATCACAATGAATTGAGCCCTGAGATTTGACCCCTCCGAGAAGCATTTTTCCAAGAGGACGCTACTAGGGGCTCCTGGCATCGCTACTAGGAGCAAGGACGCTAATAGGGGCTGGCCATACTATATACTAGAAACAAGGAAGCTACTAGGGGCTCCTGGCCTACTACTAGGAGCAAGGACGCTACTAGGGGCTCCTGGCCTTACTACTAGGAGCAAGGACGCTACTATTAGATCCAACTCTTCCATCTGGGCGATAACGATGAGACCAGATGATTCGCTGAGGCCTTCATAGAGGCTTTGTGCACCACACCGCGTGACCAAGCGCTCGCGGTGCTTGGAGAGCTCTTGCGAAACCGCCCCACACTGGCTCCGCCCCCTGGCTGAAGCTTGGGTCCGACTACTTAAAGCAGGGTTGCACTTGCTGGATTCTCCAGATATACATCCATGACCGTTGACTGCTCCTCAAATACCTTTTTTGCTCCAAATTTCTTTTACCTGCCTGCTGCCTTTGCAGGCCGAGGGTGTGCTATTGATGCAACCCCATTTCAGGGAAACCACAGACCCTTACTCCGAGATGTTTCGCATCGCTGGCAACAAAGTCTCCTCCATTTCGTTAGTAATTATCACTCTTTATAGCAACTTACTCTGCACAAAGGTTATAGTTATTAGTGACTGGTCCACTGGCTTCTGAATGGTACACAAGGGGCATTTGGCTGGTGGTTGCTTTTGTCTTTTGAATTTTTCTTGCAGCATGTCTCAGCTACATAGCAGAATGTACATACAAACCTTCTTTGTGAACTTCCTCAGAGCACTCATTCCTTTATTCGGAATTCTCACAAAATATATATATATATGAATGCATATTAGTGGTCCCACACCTGCTTTCTGAGCCTGCAAGCGTCCAATTGAAAGATCGAGACGATGGACGCCTAAAGCCAAAGCATGAGGTTTATAGAAGCTTGATGCCCAATTTGCTTTTTTGGACTCAAACAGTCCTTACAGCTATACTGAAGAATTTGACGTTGCCTCCTTGATTTTCTTTGAGCCCAGGGCCATTGTGGGCTTTGCTTGTCCTGACTTGTCCGGTTCCCCAGCGCTTCCGTCACTCGCAATCATATCAAAACAGATCGAATTTCTTCCAAAAAGGGCCACGTTTGTTGGCTCAAAGCACAGAGCTTTTTCTTTTACTCACACTCTCACCCCTTTTTGGGCGAAGTGATGTTCATGAATGCCTTTCACAGTGATTTGTCCATTCAGCAGGATTGTCTTGCGCATGTCTCAGGTGCTCAACATGAATCTACCTACACAAGCTGCAATTATATATTGTAACCACTGACGGATAGGATTTGAGCGACAAAGATACAAAGTGATTTGATCCACATCGCCGCTGTTCGCATAGCAAACACATCGTAGGGGTGTGTAAACATTGCCTATGGCACTGACGGTGGCCTTTCCAAGAAAGACACTCCAAGTTATATAGAGCACTGGTCACTGCAGAGAACAATCAGCACATGCCAAAGAGCAGAGCTTAATTAGTTACCCAGGCCTATCTCACAGAAATCTCGTTGGGAGTGTTCACTCCGTGATCTAAAATCATGGGGAAGATGTCCCTGCCGAACTGCCAAAGGGGCAAAGAGCAACAAGGCAGCACCTCCACCATAAAATCGTGGAATCTTTTTCCGGCAGAATGTGTGGCCAGCTCAGTGGAATCCAGAACATACGCCAAGCAGTTGATATAAACTCCTTGTCAAAAGCGCACATATGCACACATCTCTCTCTCTATATATTTGCAGGGAATTGTCCAAATCTTTGGCTCTTCAAGTCTTCACATTGTTCTGTAATAGACGTGAGTGACAGCGGCAGGACATATGCACCAGCGCGGGGAATCTCCGAGACTCGGCTGATGGAAACGCTCCATGTTACAAACCTTCAATCAAAAAGCGGCAAGTCTTTTTGCTCTAGACTCCAGATTGTGTTTTGCGCTAGATGCCTTTTTGCATCACACCAAACTTCCATCCAGAAATGTACACGTGCCGCAAACCAGAGCCAA